GTGGAGGGGGAGCCCTATGTGTCCTTGTACATTGGCAGCCTCTACTGGTCATTGCAAAGAGCAGCATTGACCTCTGTTCTTTCCACTCCAGGGAGCATGTGATTTTACTTGGACTTAACTCTCACTTCTTTAGTTTCACCCCTTTGGTTATTCCCTTTTAGAAACTAGTTTATCTGTTGGATCTCGAGTTATAGTTATTAAAGAGCTACAAGTCCATTGTTCTCATCAATAAACTAATGTCATACATGAATGGAATTCTTTAGAATCTTGGGAGAAATTATGGATGTAACTTTCCCCGAGAAATAATTTCCATTTAAGAGATAAGATAGATATCATCCTTTTGTAGATTTTAAAATACTGTCTCAGTTGCATGCCTTTGATTAGACATTTACTTGAGATTGGCCAATAACCCTGAGCCCCTGAAAGAAAGCCTTGACTCAATGATAGATTTAATTAAACAGATATTTATTAATTCTTTAGACTTAGGTGTACCAACTGTCTTAGAGGTTTCCAGAAAGTTGGCATAAACTCTTACTGGACTTGATGAATATGGATACCTCTGGGGGCTGGTGGAGAGTCTAGACTTCTGAGTGTAGACAAACAATTACAAATGTCTGTAAATAAAATAGCTAATGGCAGTAAACCCTGGGTTATTCTGGTTTTAGAGGTAGAGACTTGTATAATGTTTGAGCTAATATCTTTGTGTTTGGGGAATAATTTGACCACAGCTGATGATTTCCTCAATGAAATAGATCCATTTGTTGACATTTCAGTGTTTTTCAGTTTCATCAGTGGCTCTGTTGGTCTCCTAGTTATCTTTGAGTCTCTTGGCATTTTCAAATAAGACTCCTACTTGAATTTTTTTTACACTCTCATAGACAATGAGTTTCATTCCTATTGCTCCCACCTATTCCTGGATTATTATAGTAGAGTACAGTAGATCTCCTTGCTTCCATATTCTTTGCCTTCTAATTCAACCCATATATCATGGCCATATGTATTTGACTAAAACATTGCTTTTATCATATCACACTTTTTAAAAAATGATTTATTATTTTCTTGAGAAAAAGGAGCTGAATGGTATGGGGAATGGAGCAAGAAAAGAGCACTAGACTAAGGGTAGGAAGATCTGGCAGTTTTTTTGGTCTATCTCTGGCTGTATGACCTTAACCATAAAAATATACCTTCCTAAGCCTCAGTTTACCCCTATTCTATAAAATCATTTGTTGTGAAGATTGTTTGAGATAAGGTTTGTGAAATTGCTATGAACTCTGTAGAACTCTTTCTTTTACTGCTACTGAGTAAAAAGACCAAATTCCTAAGTCTGGAATTTCTTTCCAAACAGCTCCATTTCTATACTGTGCCGGACATATAATAGGCACTCAATAAATGTTTCTTAGATAAAAATGAATCCTGTCTTTCCAACCTTATCTTGTACTTTTCTATAATCTTCCAACTGAGGTAAGTAGTCTCTGCTTTCTCAACTGAAAATGTTGTTCACATAATCACACCTGTATCAGTGTTATGCTCATTCATCTTTTTCATTCCTGTTGCTCAGGAATAGTCAAGTCCCTCATATCTCATTTTAGTCCACTTTTGCTTTCTTTTCTGCCATAGCAATCTTACTGTCTTTACCACTCATTGCTCTTTTTTGACATATATAATATCTTAGATTATTAATAAAAGTGTCCTGTGTGTATGCCTTTTCTTCGCAGATGTACTATAAGCTTCTGGAATATAGGAATATAATAGCTTCTATTTTGTAGTTACTCTGTAAGGATGTGACTTATAATATATCCACATTGACATATTGTATTTGCTAGGAGGTAAAGTTTAGAACAAGGATTGACAGGTTATTGGAAGTAGACTACTAAGATGCTGACCACTGATACTCTGATTTACAGGGTAAAGGCTTCAGATTGTAGGAGCCTTGGGGAAGGTCCTTCTCTGGAAAAGAATGACCTACAAGTTATTATCAGTTAAAGAATCTTCTATTTTAATAAAGTATCCTTTAAAATATAGATAATTTATAATCAGATCGTCATATACTAATATAGTTTCTTTGTGACTATAAATGAAATGATAAAGGCATAGAAATTATAGAGATGAGCAAGAGACTGACTTTTCCACTGACAGCCTTTTGGATTTTTTTTAGAATTTGTATAAATTCAAATAAACAAATTGCAGTCATTTCTTGGATAGGTAAGTTAATAGACGTTCCCACCAATATATGTCTTCAACATACATTTGATTGCTTTTATTTTTTTTAATTGGCTTTATTGATGTATAATTTACATACAATATACTTCATCAATTTAAGGTGTACTATTTGACGAGTTTTGACAAATGTATACAGTCATGTACCACAATCACATCAAGATATAGAACATTTCCATCATCCCAGAAAGTTTGTCCTTGCCCTTTTGTAGTCAGTCTTCTACCCCGTCCCCTGACCCCTGGCAATCAGAGCTCTGCTTTATATCTTTATTGTCCTGCCTTTCATAGAATTTCATGTAAATGGAATCATACATTATGTAGTTTTTGTACCTGGCTTCTTTTAGCTTGTACCTGTACATGTATCATACAGTTTGTTCCTTTTATTGCTGAGTAGTGGTTCGTTGTATGGCTGTACCACAATTTGTTTATTCTGTTTGCTACTTGGTTGGTTTTTGGGTTGTTTCCAGTTTTTTGGCTATTATGAATAAAGATGTTATGTATGTTTAGTACAAGTGTTTGTATAGGCATATATATCACTCAGGAAATAAGTAAGAGAGAAATTGCTAGTCATATGATAAAGGTATGTTTAACTTTACGAGTAACTGCGAAACTGTTTTCCAAAGTGGTGTACCATTTTGCACTGCCACTGGTAGTGTATAAAAGCAGGGTTGCTCTGTGTCCTTGCCAACATGTGGTATTGATAGTGCTTTTAATTTTAGCTATAGTTCCAGTGAATAAGTGATGGTAACTCATTGTAGTTTTAATTTGGATTTCCCTAACATGACTAATGATAAGTATCTTTTCATGTACTTTTTCCGTATCTTTTGCCATTTGCATATCTTTTGTAAAGTGTCCAAACCATTTACCAGTTTTTTAAAAATCATGTTTTTTGTCTCCTATTGAGTTCTTTTTAGATATTTACATATTCTGGATACAAATCCTGTGTCAGAAATACGTTTTGCAAACTCTATCCCCCATGTCTGTGGACTTGCACTTTCATGTTCTTAAGTGTGTCTTTTTAAACAACAAAAGTCTCATTTTGATGAAGTTAATTTACCTGTTTTTTTCTTTGGGCTTTTTATGGAGTGTTAAGAATTTTTGTCTAACCTGATGTCACTTAAATTGTCTTATGTTTTCTTCGAGGAGTTTATAATCTTATCTTTAGGTCTATGATACGTTTTGAGTTAATTTTACGTATGGTGTGAGGCAAGTTTCAGATCTTTCCATATGAGTATCTAATTTTTCTAGCACTGTTGAAAAGACTGTAATTTCTCCATTACCTTGGCATGTTTATTGAAAATTGATTGACCATATACGTACTGGTATATTTCTCTTCCAATTTTTTTATGACTATCTTTTGTTAATACCCTACTTTCTTGATTACTGTAGCTTTATATTCTTAAAATTATATGTGTTATGGTGATCTGTGATTAATGATCTTTGATGTTACTATTGTAATTGTTTGGGGGTGCCACAAACCACACCCATATAAGATGGTGAACTTAATAAATGATGTGTGTGTTCTGACTGCTCCACTGACTGGCCATTGCCCTATTTCTTTCCCTCTTCTCATGCCTCCCTACTCTCTGAGGCAATATTGAAATTAGGCCAGTTAATAACCCTACAATGGCCTCTAAGTGTTCAAGTGAGAGGAAGAGTCAGTCTCACAGCTCTCAGTTTTAATCAAAAGCTAGAAATGATTAAGCTTAGTGAGGAAGGCGTGTCTAAAGCTGAGTTAGGCTGAAAGCTAGGCCTCTTGTGCCAAACAGTTAGCCAAGTTGTGAATGCAAAGTAAAAGTTCTTGAAGGAAATTAAAAGTGCTACTCCAGTGAAAGCTTGAATGATAAGGAAGTAGAACAGCCTTATTGCTGATATGAAGAAAGTTTTAGTGGTCTGGATAGAAGATCAGACCAGCCACAACCTTCTGTTAGGCCAAAGTCTAACCCAGAGCAAGACCCTAACTCTCTTCAAGTCTGTGAAGGCTGAGAGAGGTGAGGAAGTTTCAGAAGAAAAGTTTGGAGCTAGCAGAGGTTGGTTCATGAGGTTTAAGAAAGAATCCATCTCCGTAACATAAAAGTGCAAGGTGAAGGAGCAAGTGCTGATGTAGAAGCTGCTTCAAGTTATCCAGAAGATCCAGCTAAGACAATTAATAAACGTGGCTCCACTAAATAACAGCCTTGTACAGGAAGAAGACACTGTGTGGGACTTTCATAGCTAGAGAGGAGAAGTCAGTGCTAGGCTTCAAAGCTTCAAAGGACAAGCTGACTCTCTTGTTAGGGGCTAATACAGCTGGTAACTTTTAGGTTGAAGCCAATGCTCATTTACAATTTCAAAAATCCTAGGGCCCTTAAGAATTACGCTAAATGTATTCTGCTTATGCTCTATAAATGGAACGAAAAAAAGATTCCTTTCAGCATATTACTACTCATTGACAATGCACCCAGTCACCCAAGAACTCTGATGGAGACGTGCAACAAAATTGATGTTTTCCTGCCTGCTAACACAGTATCCTGTCTGCAGCCCATGGATCCAGGAGTAATTTTGACTTTCAAATCTTATTATTTAAAAAATACATTTTGTAAGGCTATAGCTGCTGTAGATGGTGATTCCTCTGATGGACTTGGGCAAAGTCAATTGAAAACCTTTTAGTAAGTGCTCACCGTTCTAGATTCCATGAAGAACATTTGTGATTCACAGGAAGAGGTCAAAATATCAATGTTAACAGGAGTTTGGAAGAAGTTGATCCCAACCCTCATGGATGACTTTGAGGGGTTCAAGACTTCATTGTAGGAGGTAACTGCAGATGTGGTAGAAACAGCAAGAGAACTAAAATTAGAAGTGGAGCCTGAAGATGCGACTGAGTTGCTCCAGTCTCACGATAAAATTTTAACTGATGAGGAGTTACTTCTTATTAATGAACAAAGAAAGTGGTTTCTTGAGATGGAATCTACTCCTGGTGAAGATGCTGTGAAGATCCTGGTGAAGATTATGGAAATCACAACAAAGCATTCAGAATATTACATAACCTTAGTTGACAAAGCAGCGTCAGAGTTTGAGAGGATTGACTTCAATTTTCAAAGAAGTTCTACTGCGGATATCATGGCATCAAACAGCATCACATGCTGCAGAGAAATCGTGAAAGGAAGAGTCAATTGATGCAGCAAGCTTCATTGTTGTCTTATTTTAGGAAGTTATCACAGCTACCCCAACCTTCAGCAACCACTGCTCTGATCAGGCAGAGCCGCCAACATCAAGGCACGACCCTCCACCTGCAAAAAGGTTATGACTTACTGAGGGCTTGGATGATGGCTAGCATTTTTTAGCAGTAAAGTATTTTTTAACTAAAGTATGTACATTGGGTTTTCAGATATAATGCTGTTGCACACTTAATAGACTGTAGCTATATTGTAAACATAGCTTTTGTATGCACTGGGAAACCAAAAAATTCATGTGACTTGCTTTATTGCAATATTAGCTTATTGTGGTGGTCTGGAGCTGAACCCACAATATCTTCGAGGTGTGACTGTAATTGTTATGTTACAGTGAATTTTTTTTTTAAAAAAACTTTGATCTAGCAGAATATTGTCCTAATTGTACTTCTTCCTAGCAAGAACCTGTTCCTTGAAAGTGCAATATTTCTTAAATTATATCTTTTCAGATGAGAAGACTGGTAAAGACTTCTTCCAAAGTGTGTTGTGAATTTGAGGATCAGGATGACAAATGCTATTTAATGATTGATACAGTATCTGTTAAAATTGTTTTGGAGGATTAGGAAATTGGATTAAATGAGTAAAAATGATAAACTATATTATTTAATAAAGAGACACAAAACTCAATTTAAGTTTTCATTTGATGGAAATAGTTTGTTGTTCTCCTATATAGTTTAATTTTAACTTTACTATGAGGTTTAAAAACATTTGCTACATATGTTTTGCTATCTAGCTTAGATTGTAAACCCTCTGAGGAGAAACTCTATTCCTTGTAAATCATCTAGCTTATTCTTGCTTTGATAAATATTATATAACGTTTATTAGAATAATGAGATTTCAAAACTACCTGAAAAGTTTAAATTATATGGAATAGAATTTTATAAGATGCTTAAATAGATCCTTTTTTATTTGTCCTCTTACAACAATCACAAACTTGAAATTTCTCTCCTGTGTAAATTTGCTAAATGCTTACTTTGCAGTAAATACCACCTACATAATGACATAAGATATAAGAATCAATAGCTGTAACTAAATCATTAAGCAGATTGTTGATACTTTGCATGATTATATTTTATGAAGTACCTCACCCCATGAGTTGTATTTATATTTATTTACTGTATGGAATGACATAAAAGCCAAGTTACAAATTACTCTGTTAAAGGCAGCAGGGGGACTGCTACTATAATGTATATTTTAAATGAATATTAGTAAAGAAAGAAACTAAGAAAGAAATAGTAAATTTCAGGGATGAATGTTATAAGTCATTGGGAAATGTCAGATTTTTTTAGATTATGATAACTGTAATTTTACCCGAAAAATCATTCTGTGGGAACATTAAATCAAAGTGAAATACAATAGAAGCATTGGAAGGCATTTACAGTTCTCTTTTGCATATATAGTAAAAATATGTTGCTTGTTAGGAAATTGGTTAAGTGATCATCTCTGTATCATCCTTTCTCACTGTAGAAATAGAGGTATGTCTATTTGGAAATGGCAAGAAAATAGCAATGTTTTGGAGCTTTTTTTTTTGGTAGTGGATATGCATAATGTATTGCTATCATGGCTTAATGTAATTAGTTATATAACATATTTTTCGAAGACTCTTTTAGACCCTAATATTTCTCCTAAGCCTGGGAAGATGAGAGGTAGGATACTAGCTTTGAGATGCTTTGAAATCCTGCCTCAGTTAAGGCATACAAAGAATGAGGTGAATAAGTGACATTGAATAAGGTTTTACAACAACTTCAGTTTATTAGTTTCAGGTTTAATGCTAAGAAAAGTAAAATTGAACGTTAAAATTTATATTATTACTTTTTTAAATGCTGTTTTATCTTATTTGATGAGTGCATAAGGTAGAGGAAAACTGGGCAAATATCAGGGTGATAATTGTATAGTGTACAAGGACTTTTTTCTAACAATGTTAAATCTGTTGTCTGACACTGTTAATGCTAGATTATTTCATTGCATGCACATTGAGGTACAGGAGTATTTGTGTTATTTTAAACCATTTAGTCTTTAGCAGAAATTGCTGAGGTGCTGATTTAACGTGTTTCGTTATAAGAAAATTTGACATTTTAGTATAATATAGTGTAATTTTTAGAGTTCAGAATAGATTTGGTGTCTTTGCTAAGTACCTGATGTGTAACTTTTAGATTTTCCCCGTCCCTGCCGTCCATTGTCCAATTTTTCACAGACTTTATGACAAAGCTATTGAGTTTGTGCATTCATATCTAAGTTGGATTGCAAGCCACGATAGTGATAGAGGGTAAGAGGAAGATCCCAAACCAAGGTCCTTTGAAATTTACAACTTTTTGTAGTAAAATTTCCCCCCCATCATGTCACTACATAGTTATTTAAAATCTTTTTTCTTGATTATAAAAGCAATGAATATTTTATAAAGAGGAAAGGAACTGGTACCCATATCTCACCACCCATACATAATATGTTACTGTCTTTAGGTAATAATTACAAAATAAAATTGTATTAGAATCATTATTGGAAGAGGCCCTCTTTTAAATTCCACGTTCTATCAAAATATATCTTATTCTGAGTAGAATGGATAAGAAGATACTATGATGAGATGATGGATAACTAAATAGGGACTGAAATGATACTTTATGAGAAGACTCAGAGGGAAAAGAGTCCCTATCAAATTACTGAAATGTGGACCAAAAAGGAGAAAACAAACATCTGACTCCCATGAGCATATCTATGGAAATGTAAGGTTATGTAAATATAGAGTGTTGTTAACTGTGTTACATATTATTTACACATATCACTTGAGATTTTGAGGTTATATTTTGATTCTGGTTGCTTTTTAGTTAGCTTTCTGCATCCAAATTAAAAACAATGTCTTCACAATGGAGAAATACCAATAAAGATGCCAATTTTACATTTTTAAGTTCTTTATTTTCAAAATTTAATCAGTAGGTTATTCTTAAAATTTAATCAATAGGATCTTGTCCTGAAACTTCCCAGGTGTATTTTCTGCTTTTCACTGATGGGATTGGGGTAGAAATCATTCCTATTTATCTGAATGAGAACCCTTTGGTGAAATTCTTTTGATTCTAAGATAACTAGATGAAATGTAATGCATAAATCATGTCACAGCAAACAGTTGTCACCTGGCACTAAGCTTGATGAAATTTAAAAATGTTGGCTCATTGCCTATGGTGTTCAGTTAGCGTCCTATAGAAAGTCTGTTTGTGCAGATAAAGCCGTTCTTGGTAAGGGGAGATTCGTCTTTCAAGTGATAGGGTTTGTATGAGTTTATTACAGAGTCCCAACTCTGAGCTCCCAAGACATACTCAGCAAGGCTTTGTTTTAATTTCTCATTGCTCTCCCTTTGGCATACTTATAAGACCCTCAGCTTGGTGAAACTCTTAGTGTTGATTTAGTCCGGCATCACCCACAGTGCAGGAATGTTTTCAATAATATTCCCAGAAGACAGTCAAATTTGGGCTCTAAGATACTGCTTTTATTTGCAGCTCTTGGCTCCCTGTCAAACCTAGTCTTCACTTTCTTCTCTTACCAAAAGTTCTACATCCATCTTTACTTATTGGTAGCTTAGTCTGATACCTAGCCTTTTCTTGGAGAACGATAAAGATCTACTCAGCCTGTGCAGAAGAAGACGAGTGAACACACGCTCTTCAACTCCAGAAGAAACAATAGCTACAGGGCTGTTTATTTCACACAGGGCCCAACTTTCTTCCTAACTGCTGGATTAGATTTTGCCATTCCCAGACCTTAAGACTTCTTCTGTCACTAATAGGAAAACTAAGTTTTTTAATATCTTTGGATGTCACACAAATGTGTACCCACCGAAAAAAAACCTTTTTGTTCCCATTTCCTACCCCCTATTACATTCTCTTTCCATAGGTAATTATTCTCATATTTTTTATCTGAATCCTTTTATTTGTACGTGTTCCTGTAAAACATGTAGATTCACTTTGTGTGCAGACAAATGCTTGATGTGCATGTATTTTAATTTTACATTGCTGGTATTATACTCTAGGTGTTATTTAGTTTGCCCTCAGCGCTGTTTTAAAGATCTCCCGATGATATTGGGTGTACAGCTTGATTTCTTCTAACTGCTGCATAGCATTCGTAGTGAGCATTTGCTTCATTTTATTTGCCCTATGTGTTAGACACCTAGATTACAGGACCTTTTTATAACCGACTCCATGACACTTAAATCCCAGCTGCATGAAGTTAATCTCTCTTGTGTGAAAACAATCTACTCTTTATATTGCTATTCTTTTGCACATCCTTCCAGTCTTTAAATGACTACCTCCTCACTTCTCAAGACTCGACTCAGATATTATATTTCCTTGATGAAGACTCCAGCAGCTATTTCATACTCCAGCTAGTTGCTCTGTACTCTGCTCACACAGCGCTTACTTTTATCTTGGTAATATAAAAGCCCCTATTTCTGCCTAAAAGTCTAGTTTTCCCTCTGGATTCCTTGAAGTCAGGGACAAGATCTTAGGCATCTTTATGTTTTTTGCTTTAGTTTGGTTGAATTGCATACATTTGGCAAGCAGTAAAACATTAATTGAATGAATAAAATGTGTGTAGGTTCTTTAAAATGAAATACTATATAAGCACAATTGATTCTCGTATGTAAGAAAAGGTTAGAACACAAATGCAGAAATAGGATACAGGAGGCTGAAAAAACTGAGGTTTGTAAAGATCTTAAGAACCACAACATGTTACGTTCAGATCATGAAGAAAAACAAGCAAAAGGATCAACTATTGCTTGGGGACAGATGGTGTAATACTAGATGTTGGAGTGAAGGTGGAGCTATGGAACTCCTGAGTTGGTTTCAACTTCTCTATCAAAAGAAAATGATCTTCAAATTCAGTAAAAGAGACTAATGGTTGTAACAAGGAAATTAAAGTCCTAAGAAAGGGAAGCAGTAATGAGAAAGCACTTTGATGCTCTCAACTATTTAATGCTCTAGGATTGAATGACTTGCAGAAATGAATGGTTTGGTGATCTTTGAGCAATTATGGTCAATACCAGATGTGCCAAAAGACTAAAGATTGTACAGATTCTTTTTGTATTTTCAAAAAAGAGGGGTAAAAGTAAAATTATAAATTAGTGGGTTTCAAGTCTATCTTTGGGACAATTCTTTAGTTCATCATTAGACAAATGGTTTGTGAAGACTTACCTAGAAAAGAAGCTTTTCTTTCGGAGACCCCATGGGTTCACTAGGAATGTGTCATGTTAAACCTATGTAATTTTTTTTTACCATGTAAGTGGAGTGAGTTGCTTTTGGCAAGACTTTGGACAAGTGTCTCATGATATGTTTATGAAATAGATGGTCAAATTAGGAGCTGTTTTATAAGAACAGGTAGGTTCATTGAGGGTTGAAAAAATCTGATGAATGAATTGGTGTCAGCTTGGAGAGAGGTATTTCTAGTGACGTGGCATGTCTCTTTCTTTCACTCTGTTCGATTAATCATTTTTATCACTGACTTGGATGAAACAGGCCCATCCCATTTGCATATCACATAAGGCTGGAAGTGAAAGCTAATAGTTTAGGTGAGGGAATCAGGATTGAAAAAAAGCTTAGCTATCTGAAATGATTGGTTGAAACTGAAATGGTCTATAATAGTGATTAATGTAAAATTCTGCATATAGGTTTGTCAAGTTATCACACTAGTCCAGAATTGAGTAGACGTGTTTTAAGAGCAATTCATATGAAGAAGACCTGGGAATTTGTGATATAACTGTCACTGCTATGTGCCCGGTGTACACTGTTTTAATAGAAGTGCAGTGTTTGGAACAGGGAAGCTACAGTCTCTCTTTACTGGTGAGCAAATACCATTGTGTTAATTTATAGCTTCCAGGTTTTAAGAAGTGTCTGGGGACTTTGTCATGAAAGGATTATTTCAAGGAATCAGGGTGGTTTGCTTATTAAAATTTAACTTTTGTATATATACGTATAGAGTGAGGAATCATCAGAATAATAGCTGTTTTCAAATATTTAAAGACCGAAAGAGAAATTAGCCTAATTCTATATTCGTTCAGCTTTAAAAAAAAAGTATTGAGTACCTACTTGCAGGGCTGGAAATTGTGCCAGACTTTGGGGATATAATAGTGACTAAAAACAAAAAAAAAATGACCTCATCTTTATCCTTTGTGGCACTTGACAGTCCGATAGAAAAGTCAGACATTAACCAAATAATTATATGAGTCAATGTATTTGCAGCTATAATAACTTCAATAAAGTAGAGGTACATGGCACCCTGAGAGTATAGAGTAGGGACATTTGATTTGGTTAGTAAGGGAAAGTTTGCCTGAGGAAGTGATGCTTGAGGTAAGAGAGAGAGTGTATTAACTAGGTGAAAAGGGGAGGGGAGGGAGATCCAGGATGAGTGAGAGTGGTGGTTATAAAGGACAGAAAGTCTGTCTGATGCACAGAGAATACTCCGAAGCTCAAAAGATAGGAAGAGTTCAGGCCACTCAGACTTTGAAGACCTTGGTGAAACATTTATTCTGTATCTAGAAACAATGAAAAGCATTTGCTGGTCTTACCTCAAAGACTATCTGATTTAAAATGGGAAGATGTCTCTGGCTACAGTGTGGGGAGTTGATTGGCTTGAGGCCAGAGAGGATGTGGTAAATGACCTGAGGAAGGATTGTAGTTGGGTGGACAGAGGGCATTGCACTACAAGAAATGAGACCTGTCATTGAAAGCGGAATTCAGCTGTGGAGATCAATGGGAGAGTGTGGAAAGAGTTCTATTTGGAGGCAGAACACTTGGGTATGAATCGCAGTTTGCCGCTTAACTAGCTTGGTGGCCTTGTGCAGATCATTGTATTTTTCTGTTCCTGATTTAACAGCATAACATTTTTGCTGGCAGGTTTTATCAGGATTAAGTGATTTGATGTACATGTGAATGACTTACAGACTGTGAAGTATTACATAAAATGGAGGATTTGAGAAAAAAAGCATTAGTCAACAATGGCCATTATTGGACTTGGTGGTCTAGTAATGGAATGGCATACTTAAGTGGTTCCTCCTCTAACTATTTGGAATAGATGGTTTTATTTAAGATTTTTATCATTGTAGCTTCAGGTTTCCATTCCTCTTCCCACTTGTTTCGGAGCATTCACTAACAGGCACAATCTAAAATTTACAGTGACTCCATGCTTTTCTACTTTCTAGGAGCAGTCACGTTGCTAGATGTGATTTTAAATTAGATATGCATGAGGTGTTTTTCTTATGTGTGATCTCAAAAGCAAGAAGCAGTTTTAAAATGAGAAAGTATAAAATATTCTGCAATATATCTTTTGGTAAGGTAGTAATTTCATATCTTAAGGTACATTCAAGTACACAGAGATTCACATATATTTCTACTCTAGAGTGTTGCTTGTGTATATATATGTATGTGTGTGAATCCGTGCATTTATACATAATATCCTGTAAGTGCAAATATACTTTAGTTTTTGAAATGCTTTAATTTAAAACCACGATAAAATAGAAATAAGGGTAAAAACATGTTGAGCTACTTTTTTGAGACAGATAGGAAAGGAATAATATTTCTAATAACTCATAGGAAGGACTATGAATTGGTAACATATTATTTATTCACATATATATGTACACAAAAGCACTCAACAAATATTCATTGAGTACATAAAATGTTTACATGCATTGTTGTAACCTGTACTTTTATTAAAGTTATTTATATGTGTTACCAGTAGTCTCAAGAATCTGTCTAGGTAAAATGTGACATGCCCTTATGCAATCTTCTGGCAGAATCCCAAAGACAACTTCAACTGTAGCATTCTGCACATTTAATCAAGTTTTATGTTGTTCTTGAATATTTTGTTGCTTTTATGTCCATAAGAATTATTCAGTTCTAAATAGTGTGTGACTCCTGAATGTTTCTTATGATTTGAGAATTTCTCTGCAAAGAGGGAAATGCTGTTTATTCTCATTATTTAATGCTTTTTCTTTAGGGAAGTAGGAATAATAATTGCTGAAAGCCAGTTGCATTTTAGGAGTGTTAAAATTTGGAAGGTGCTTCTGGATTCATAGCTCAATAGAAGACACATTTGAGTGAGAAATCAGTTCTTCCCACAGACTTCCATTTGTACTGGTAATGACAGTAATAGGTGGACCAGGCACTATGCTAAGGATTTTACTTGTATTTTTATTTAATCTTTCCAATAACCTTGTGGAGTGTGAGTGTTATTATTCCAGCTTTACAGATGAGGAAGCTGGGGTTTAGTGAGGTTAAATAACTGGTGAATAGACAGGCCTAGGTTCCATCCCAAGTCACTTTTGATTCCACGACTCCTATGCTATTTTGAAACAACTGATTTGGTACATAAGAAGTTGATTGAAATCATTTTAGACTAATCTCCTGGAGCCATGATTTTTGCCGTGGTACTATATTAAAAGGAGATAACACACAGATAGCTCATACAAAGGTAAAAAAAGCCTATTTTCATCTCTGGGTAATAATGGATTTCTTGTTGTGGCTTTTGTAATAAGTTTTTAAATAGTTAATGCAAACAGTAGTAAAAAACAATTCTCATAGTCCAAGAGTATACACAATGCAAATCATGTCTTCCTCCCACTCTAGCCTCCTGTTCTCCCAGATAGAGGCAACCATCTAATTTCTGATTATTCTTCCACAGGTAGAGTTAACAGTGAATTGAGTTTTTGAAAAAATGACATTTGAGCATGAAGTCTAAAGAAACAAACTGAAAACAGCCAGATCTGGCACCAGGTTGACATCCAAGTGGGTCAAGCCAGAGAAGGGTGGAACAGGATTCAGATGACATGCTCAGGGATGAGAATGCAGACAGACCATCACACTAGCCTCCTTCCCATAGGGATATCCGAAAGCCCTCCAGGTAGGCTTGCCCCGTTTTATCAATGAGGAAATTGGTTACTTTGGTCGTAAGGATAGCTGCATGTAGAGCAGAACCCAAATGCAGGACTGTGCCTCACATCTTTCCATTCTACTGCAGTGCAAGTAAACTCTGGATCCGAGAGTGTCGTGAAGAATTGTACAATTGAAGTCTAAACTTGACTAGAGTTTTCTACAGGTAAGCTAGATAGTAAACTTCAGAAAGCCAAAGGCAGTAAGCAGACTTTTTTAAAAACTTTTAGAATACATTTTTTATTTTAGAATAGATTCAGATTTACAGAAAGCTTGTGAGGATAGTACAGAGTTCCCATATATCTTGCAGCTTGATTCCCCTATTATTAACAGATTTCACTGCTATAAAGTTTCTCTTTATTTCCCCCTTTCCATATTGTACTCTTTGGAAGGAAGTCACAAGGCACAGCCCGCACCTAAGGAGTGGGGAGTGATGTTCCACCCCTTTGAGAGTGGAATATTTTCAAAAGTTATTTAGACTACTTCTGTACAAGAGTTTTGTTTCTCCTCCCCATCTATTTATTTAGTCAATCATTTATTTATATAAGTATGGATTCATGGATATTTATTTTGTACTTTGAGTTATAATCCAATGCTATTTTATTTTATTGCTCAAATTGTTCCAGTTTTGGCCATTGGGAGATTTTTAATTGGCTCTTGTGTCTGTTTGACGTACCTTCGTTGATGTTTTTTTTTTTCTTTTTTGAGCACTTCCTAACTTTCTGGCATTATAGGATACATCAGACTTGCCTTTATATTTCCTGCTTCACTCCTCGAGAGAGTCACTTCTCCAAGGAGCCCTGGTTTTTTTAACTGGAAAATGGTATTAGAAAACAAGATCTGGGGGCCAGATGTAATAGCAGCTCTTTTAAAACCAAATATTGAGTAGAAAAGAAAGTTTCAGCTCTTGTTTCAGATAGTACTGAATTAGGTCATTGTAATAATTTATTTGTTAATATTGCTAGAGTATAACATTTACCTGAGTGAATTGAATAGAATGATCCTAAAGGTAAAATTCTAGGAAATATTATTTTATTACTCTTTTCTGTTACTTAAAATAAAACAAACCACCTGTCCTTGATGGTACTTTATTTGATATATTGTTTTCATGTCCTTGACCAGAACCTGAGGCAAAACTCCAAAACATGGTAATTTGAAACAAGTCAGGATTAACCGTGGGATATTGCAAAGACTTTATACTCCATTAGGAAAATTAACAATCATGGAGTCTATGAAAGACAGATAATTCATATTTATGTAAAGAATAATGCATCACTAAGTATTTTAAATTTGTGTATCCATATCCAGCAGAGGATTGGGAGAGAACATTAAGGGAAAGCAAAAAAAAAAAAGTAAAAAAGAAAAAAAAAGATCATTGAACATAGTTATAATATCTGGACAGTAGTCCTAGCTGATTTTTTTTTATTCCAGAGGAATATTCCCTATTGGAGACCTGGGTTTTCTAACTCTATAACTGAGATTTTCTTACTCTGAGATATTTGCAGATAGATCAGACAATTCTTTTGCCGGAGACATTAAAAGGATTTGTGAGTGTATTTGTAATCTTAGTAGTACTGATGAACATTTCTTGAAATCTTATTTCTTAATTTTGCTTTTTGCCCTACCTTGCTAGGCAAGTAATCCCTTTTACTCTTTAGCCTCTACCATTTCAATAAGCAAGTTGAATTTTTACAGCTCATCAAGCAGCAAGGTCAGAAGAATCACAGGATCTGATAGGTGAATGCATAAATGTATGTTGATTGTAAAAAAACAAAATCATTTTCTAAGATTTAATCAAATGTTTTTTTCCTAGGCTATAGTCATCACTATTTGTCCTAATCTATTGTATTTTAATTTTCTGTCTCTTAGTTTAACTGTAAAGAATAGTCTTTTAAATCAGTGTAAATACAAAAGCTTCAAATTAAACTGATAGTGTGCAGTTGCAATTAGTAAGAGGCACAGCAGTAATGAGGAAGAGAACCAGGCAGGTAAACACTGAAGCAAAGGTAAATGAAGCGGTCTATAATGGATAAGTAAACGTGACTCAGTGCACAGAAAAACTGAGTGAGTCAGAGATGCCCAAGGAGCCCTAGAATGACAATAGCTTGAAAGCCTTAAGTGGGGGCAGGGGGAGCTGAGTGTAGAGATGGAGAAATAATGAAAGCAAGGTTCTAGGTAGGGGTTGCTGGTGAGTCCTGAGGCTGGCAAAGATTGACAGGGAGAATGCGAGAAGCTAAGTATCTTCTTGGGAGTTCAATGGAAGTGATAAGCCTATGCTTGAAGAGCCTGGAAGCACAGATCTGGGACATGGTGGAGGGAACTTAAATGTATTAAATGTCCACAGTGTTCTAGGTGTATTATGTCATTTAATTCTTACAATGCTTTTGTGTATTATGTCATTTGATTCTTACATCAACTCTTTGAGGGAGGGAATTATTAGTTACAGTATTACAGATGGAGGAAATGAGGCACAGAGAGGATTGAGAGTATGCTGCAGTCCACCCAGCAGCTAAGTGTAGGTAAACTCAGACAAGGGGTTAAAATTTGAATTTTAAATTTCAAAGCAGTTTGGGGGATCAAGGTAGATAGACAAAACCAATTATGTGTAGCATGGTTCCAAGCTCTTAGGGCCGGGGGCAGCCATCAAGACTCTTTTGGAGTTTCTGGGTAGAATTGGTTAAGAGAAAGGAGCTTAAAATGGTGGCTATTAGGTTTAAATAGTTTAGAGCTGTTGGAAAATGAAGGTTATTGTAGGCTGCTGTATTGAGGGGGCCTCCAAATGGACTGAGGACTCATGGAGATAGCTGACTAAAAAGTGGGCGTGAGGATTGACTGAGAGGTGGACTGGCGATATTTGGTCCTTTTAATTATCATTTCATACTCAGTTTGAACTTTTCAGGATTTCCATAGACTAAAGAGGGTGATTTTTGACTCTCCTTTTTTGGGAGGATAAATTTTAGGGGTTATTCTTAGATTCTGGCACACTGGTTGTTAGTATGTTAGTCCATTTGTGAGTGAGAAAGCAGGTTAATGAAAACCGCTGTGAATTGTAAAGATGTAGTATTTTTTTAAATGGTGTGTTTATGTTTACAGAGTAAATCTCAAGAGCAAATTAATTACATGTCTGTAGTTCTTAAAGTTAAGTAGGCTAAGTGGGGAAAAAGCATGATTTAATCTTGCTTTATTGCTGGCCAAATCTCTAGGCTGACCATTTTTTCCTTTTAATAAAAATGCTTTTGGTTCCTTGTCTTCCCATTAGCTCATAGTTGAGAGCTCTGTTAAGTTGTCTGTGAGACGGAGTGTATTAGGCTTGCCTGATTAAAATTGTTCATGAGAGATCAAGCAGACAAGGGACTTTTAGCATAATTAAAAAAGCACTTCTAGCCTTTAAAGACAAGATTTCAGAGATTTTGGAATTTATATCAACCTGTAGGGAACTGTGTTTATATAATTAGATTCTCGTTCTCTCATGAACCCTTCTTACTTAATTCACACATGATGTCCTTTCCTTTTATGGAATATCATCTTCTCATGAAGGAGACAAGAAATGGTGAGAAGAACCAGAACTTGAATAAAATGAAATGTTTCCCTTGAAAGATCACAATATGATAAGTTAAACAATCAGTTACCTCCTTTTGTTAACCTGTTTATTTATAAAAGAAAATGCAGGAGCAAAGTTCAAGATAGTAAAGGGAAAAATCAAAACAAATTGCATATCCTGTGTTCTCAGGCTGATCTGAGAAAAATTACACCAGCTATTGGAAAATAGTCTCCTTTCATTTAATGGATATCTTAGGCCAAATTTTTTTTTTTTGTCTTTTCATTTTGCAGTCCCAAACTTTCCATTGCTGGGCTCTGAAATCATTTAGTTATTATGCTCATTTTACTATCATGCTTCAGAAAAAGAAAAAAAAAAGATGATTACACTAAATGTGATTTAAAATGACTTTTTCTTTTGTCCTTTTAAAGCAAAGTCCACTGCTATAGACTGTTTGAGTACTTTATAGAGCACTTCAGTTTTTTTCCTATGTGTTTGAAAAAACACATTTTAGTGCTTCTTCGGAAAGGAACCCTTTCTAGAATAAATCAAAATGCTATTGCTGTAATGAGGCAGCATTTTAGAAGAACACTACCAAGGTGTGAACTTTTTTTTTTAACCTACATGTATAAGGCATTTATTTCATAGACTAAGGGCTTCTGAACATGTGAACGTTTCTTTAGAGGCATTTCCGTCAACCAGTAAGTAATGCTTTGTTTTCACCCAGAAGATTGCTTCAGAATATTTCTCATGTAATTAAAATAATTTTTCCATTAGCTGAGAGTGGTTCTCAAAGCTTCTTGACTTTTTTTTAAATTCTGTTTTATTTTGCATTTTTAAAAAGAATTAGTTCTAGTCTGATTTTAACATAAAACAGCAGTGTCCAACAGAAACCCAGGTTATTTCCATATCGGCTCTGGGTAAGAGAATAAGACAATGGAAGAAAGCCCCCCAAACCAAAATGTACCATAAATTATTCCAGTTATATATTAAGACTAATTTTAGGAACCTAATCAAACATACATTGGCCAGAAATAAAAATATTTTAATTTAAAATCATAAAGATTGAGGAAGAAAGGAGCTTGAAATTTTAAATGGTGGAAGTTTTTTCGATGTCTCACATTATCCACAGGAGGAAAGCACTAAACAAGGTTACGTCTTGAAGCAGTAAAATCTGTGAATAGTTTTGTTTGTGGGAGGAGGTCACAAAAAGGTTATTCCTCTGGCTTTCTTCTTCTTGACAAGTAATCAGAGTGGTTCACAGATCTCCTGGTTTCCAACCATTTTATAGTCTTGAGAATTAATTTTTGCATCAAATTATATATTACCCTTACTTTTGATTAAATGAACTGTTTTAACAGACCGCACAATCAAATAGGCTAGATAATAATAGTTGCTTCAATTAAGACGTAATTTAGGATGAAATCATATAG